AACCCACTGACAGTGCTAGATTTATGCACCAATTTACCAGCTCACGCGTGCAATGCGCAGCTACCTACCCCCCTACCCCAAATCATCGGTGAACGAAACTGCGACAGCTACAACCAGTGTAGGACGAGTACGCGGTTCTTACAGCTGACAATGATAATGCTGATGACTGTATCTTTCAAACAGTTTCATAACAGCACTCGCATGCTGGCCGAAGATAGATGTTTAACTCGTCTTTGTGAAAACACCTCCTTTAAGAGGTGGTCATCTAGTAAAAACAAGAACTCTGGACAAGGGAATTCTGTTCTAAGTTCAGATATAGCTTCTCCTTTCGGGCGGTCTTCTGGAGAGATACACTGCATTAGTAGGTGACTCGATCACGTCAGACAAGGTGGTCAGATTCGAACTTTGCGTTGGAATCAATGTTTGTTTGTTTGTTGTTTGCAATAATCCGTGAAATTCAGAGGAATGTTCTAGAACCCAAAGAGTTTGTTATGACGGTACATTTTTTTCTACCGGAATTGAAATCTGAGGCATTTCGCTCACTAATATGACATTAGCGAAGCACCAAAGTGCTTCGCGGACATCCCGTTTTCGTACAAACCTGTGTCCAGATTTACAACCGCGCACAAGTGAGTTGTCGAAAAAACTAGCCAAAATGTCGCTGCGTCTCGACAGCTTACAGCAATCCGGTCGATCGGACGAGTCAGGTGACAAACTATGTCATCTACCGGGACGAACGATTCTGAAAACATTTCTGCAATAAAGACATTCCTATATAGAAAGATCACAAGGAGAACAAAATAGTACTCTATCGTAACCGAAACTCGACTAACCATTAAAATTATTTCGTGTCTCTGAAAATAACGTCAGCGCAGTAAAACCAATTAAAGAAGGGCATCGACGAACTCCCAGACACATGTTCTGGCCAGGTTTAGATACAGGGAAACTCTTCCTGGTAGAGAAATGCAGTATATTCATTCGAGTAAGACATCCCCAAAACTATCACATAAAGAGGTCCTAGTTGCAAAGGATAAACTAGCTGTATTCTTCTCGCTGTGCATGCACCTGGGTTCAAGTAGAACATAAAGTTGACGGGAACTCGGGGAATGCGCCTACCTCATGAGCTCCAAGAGGGGCGAAACCGGTGGTGGGCTGTCGAAGAGTTTTCAGCAACCTTGTGAGTAGTTTCCTTTATCACGCAAACGTTGTTTTGTGGCTGCAGGAATTTTTTCATCCGGCCTGTAGAACCATAGCTCATAGCCTTTTCTTCGTGGGTTCTGGTTCGATGGGACATCAAATGGCTTCTCAATGTCGGTTTCCATCCAGCGGTTTCCAAAACCCCTGAGAAATTTAATGTGATTCCCAGGCATTGCGATTTGTACCGAGAGTCTGGAATGGGCTAGACGAAGTCAATGTATACTGTCGACGATAAACCAAAAAGATTCGCAAGGTGTTCCAAAGACTTCCTTACCTCAGCTCTCAAGATTATTTCAAGAGGTTTCAATCAGACAGCACACCATGTTCACAGTGATTTGGCACTTTCGAACGACAGACTGCCAGGTTACAAACCACTACCAGCGTCGTTTTCCGTCACAGTGTAGGTTTTGCATACAATGCCTCTTGTTCTGAGATCGCATATTCTCAGGCTGAAGTGATTTTCCCCAAGGCGTTCTGGCTGAGTAAGAAGCAGTGAAGGGTCAGGAACTTGGAAATCATTGGTCACTGTCTCATAACCGACAAGAACGTGTTCAACCAATGGAATTACGAGGAGAATCCTGGTTGTTTCTAGCAAACTTGCAGTAAGCATGGAATGAACGGTACTCCTACTGAACGACTGAAGACACTGTGAGAACCAACATTTGTTCTCAGCGTTAGCAAAATTCACCTGATATGATATGAATGTGCTGAAAGAAAGTAGTCTCACGATTCAGCTGGAATGAAGTTCAAGATATCAAAGGATGACTCTGCCCATGAGGTCGATAGCTCGCAACTCTGCTTGGAGTTCATCAGATTGGTCTGGTCTATTCTATTCGTCCCAAACTGAACGTAGGTGGCGAGTTCAAACAAACCCACCGCTCTTTTTTTACTTTTGCAAAATTCCCAATAAGTAGACCTACCTGGTGAGATTCAGGAAGGGAAGAACTGGTAGCGGGTCGTCAAGAGTTTCTATCGACCTGACGAGCAGCACTGAGACCCATTTAGGCATCAATATTAGTCCGATTGCAACATGAGTGTTTATCACAACTCAAGCATAATTCTGTTTTCAATTATAACATAAGCCAAGCGGGGAGTCGTGGATTAGGCCTACCTGACAAGTCACAAATGAGAGTCCAGGGGCTATTCAACCATTTGAATAGCGACTATGAAAAACCGAGATACTGTTTGAACTTCGTGGTTTTCGGAAACAATCTCCTTTTTTTAAAGAACAGATACGACTATTGATTTGCTTTTGAGTAATAGTTTCATTTAAAAAAGAAAAACATGAACGGAACCTTGAATGCCTCCGTAATAAATCGGTCGTAGAAGTGATCCATGATTCACAGGCTCACAGTTTGGAAGCCTTATTCCGCGATGCGTACAACCAAAGTGAATTGAATATGGTATAAGAAAGTTTTTGTGAGTAGTATTGGCCGTGCGCGGTCAGTAGCTGTTGGTGAAAGGAAGAAGGCCTTTGCTGCGGAGTTCTTCACTAAAGAGACACCAAGTGAACTGTTACAGGGTATCGGACAGGGGAGCAAAACTCTCATATGCATCTTGTTTACAAAACTGAGTATCCATCTTCTCCTTGAACGCGTCTTCCTGAACTTTCCTGGATATTCATTGACTGTTACTCGATTGCGAGTAAATGCCACAAAGCCACTCCACCAATTCCGTAACAGATCTTACTTTTCAAGAGACGCGATGAGGAGTTACGAGTACTCGTATGCCTCATCAGTAGTATCCACCGTTACATCGGTACTGGCATGTCGATTAGCGGGACCGAAAGTCTTACATACAAAGGTTTTCGTCACACGAACTATGGTAGATGAGGCAGTCCTTCCCGGAGAGCCTATCAAAAGCAAGCCGAAAAGCACACGTTTTCTCACACCAAAATAAATGACAGGCTTGTTGTCATGTTGCTCGAAGATTGACCTGAATTTGTGCAAGCTAGCGGACACTGCCACACTGATACGGATCAAAATGAGCAGGCCGAGTACTGAATTATCTGGAAAAATATTTGTTACGATCAATAAGACATGAATGACCGGATATGTTCTTGATCATAGACAAAATGTCACCCCCAGTCGTTTTGGCTCACGTTTCGTTTGTTCACGGTGTTCGTCTGAAAGTACCAAAGAGATGAGACGATCATTTCTGTTTAGGGTGGACAGCGAAGAAATTTGTATACATTCCAAGATCATTCAATGCGCACCGACGTACCAGTCCGCCTAGCGGTAGCACTTTATAGCGAACAGTACGAAGTTATATTAGTATTTTGAAACGTAATTTCCTGTTTCTCATCCATGCTCACATTACCGTCATCATCACCACCGCTAAATGTTGGAACAATGTCCAGTTCTTCCCTGTCGCCCGAAACAATATCACTCCATAGCCCCGTCTTGTATCGTCCCAAACTAAGCACATGGGTGATCGGACGGTCTCTATAGGGGGCAGTGGAAAGCGTTTGATTGGGGCGCGTGTAAATAAGCAGAGACTGAACATCACAGATGTACTTTGGTGGTTGAAGTTCTCCCATCAAGTTAAAATTCATGTAACCATTCCGCTGCTCTAAACAGGTTCTTACGTCCGATTTCCTCAGTCAATTGAGTCAACGGGTTTGTTGATAACCTCGGTTAGCCTAAATTGGTAATACTGATTAGAGTTTGGGGATAAAACTGGTAACTTATGTTACTAACACCTTGGAATTGAATTTCGTGAGTACGTAATATTTATCGCCATTATTTGGAATTCTTTTGAGCACAAAGCTTGTGAGACAAGCCTAAAATTTGGCTTTCTCTGACGGAGTTGATACGTTTGCTTCTGACCCGGGAAATGTGAGGTTAGGTGATAAAGACGAAACATATTCTGCTCTGACGTTCCTGTTAGCGTTTCCATGAGTAAGGTCCATATCGACACGTGGATCTCCATTCTACTCCTAGCTTTTGGCTATTCTTTATCAAATTGGCACTCAAACATCCAAAGACTACAGTTTGAATTAGTGGACTCTTGAGAAAGGCCTAAACGCATCTCAAAAGCCATAATTTTCCCTTTCCAGGACCGTTGGTAGGGTCCTGAAAGGGGTTCAGCGTCCTTCAGCTCCTGTACAACTGAAAGTCCATACAGGACCGTACAAAAGCTCGATTTCAATTCCCTGATTAATATGGTGATATGTTCTGCTAGCTTGCGACAGATTCGGAGGTATGACTTCTGTCAAAACGTCCTTCGGCATAGGAGCATTGCACTGGGGTCCTCTGTCGAGGTTGACCAACTAATTCGTATGGTGACCACTGTCTGGTAACCCAAACTATTCCTCAATCTAACTTAGCCGGGGAACAGAAGACCGCATGGAATTCGAAGTGCTTGTAGATCTAACCATCAACACAAATCAGACAAACATGTTGATTGAAACCAGCGGTTTATCCCGAACTTCGGTGGGTTTAGTGCCTGTTACACATCAGCCAATTTAGCATGTCCGTATCACTAAAGTGGGTTTTAGGGCCGGAATCATCCGATATAAACAGGCTACACAGCGATTCGCCAGAAGCCTTTGAACTTATCACTTTGTTGTTTCTCAGTTGGGACTACCGATTCTAGTTTCTTTCCCCTCTTTGTTATCGACCATTCCCTTCCATTCTGCGATATGAGTAAAGATGAAACAGACCCAAGCGCTATATCTGCTTAGCTTGCGATCAAAGAAATGACTCTACTGCACAATTTGGAATGACCTAAACTTCTGAACTACGTAAAGTGGTTCTGAAATAATAGTTTCCGAATCAAATCTAGACATGGTGTATTTAGACATAGCTGGCGACGTGTAGCTAGTAATGACTAGGGCAGTTAATGTCAGCCTATGAAGTTCGGGGTTTCAGCGTGACGCCAGGCTTTTATCCAGATGGCAGTGAACCCAGCAGCTGGGGGGGGGCTGTTTGACCACACATTTTCATAGAACATTGTTCGAGTATGGTAAAGCTAACGTAGGCCAAAGTAGATCAAAGGACTTCTGACAGAGAGGACCCATAGCTCTGGGTGCTTTTGTGGGGCTGCTTTCTGCCGTTTACTCATGACGGTTTGGACGAGTTTGGACATTTTGCCGAAGGGTGAGCATCATGACCATATTCTGTGACTAGATCGTAACTGTGGTGTCATCCAGGTCGATGATTATAGGCACTGACGAGGATGGCTTATTAGTGTGCCCACTGGCACTACGGTATCCGGGCTAGACATCCGTTGAACACTGATGACCAAGCATACTACCAACTGATGTGTCACAATCAGCGAATTTACATTGGTGTATAGTGAACTGTCGCCCTCAGCACGTTACCGCCGTTTTATACTCCGTACTTATCGACGATCAAGATTGTAGCTCTCAAAATCAGACTAGGATTTGTGTAATAACAGTTGGATCCGGTTGAAAATTTTCACCATATTGATTTTCCGTGCAACCCGGTGTTGTTGTTGTGCAATATCATTAAATTCAAAGGCTATCACGAACGCGGATTCGACCTGAGAAGTCGGACGTGTTAATTTTTGGAGTAACTTACCGTTTGTATGCGGTCGACTTCTGTGACTATATCAGGTGTCGAAGAAACGTGACAGGAAGAAAACTCGTAAGAACTAATCGTTACACATTGTCGTGATACACTTAAAATGGCATTCGAAAGTACACGACTACATTCCATCGAACTTTGTCCTTTTATTCAAGTTGGGCCAGGATAGTCCATTAGATTATATTCTGTCAGTTTGAAATTGGCTACTGAAATCTATCAAACTACAAAGTGATTGGTTCCTCGACAAATATCTCGTTCAAATCTCCATAAATATTGATGTGGTGCTCCACTGACTGTCTGTAGAGTGCTTCTAATCCCCACATCAATGACCGGCGTAATTTGCGGAACAATAATGAAAGTCTAACACTTCATTGGTTGTTGGTCAAGCGACAGTTGCGGAACAATAATGAAAGTCTAACACTTCATTGGTTGTTGGGTCAAGCACAGTTGCCCGCCCGCCGAGCTTGGCAATTGGCCTGCAAACGTTCCGTCGCCATCCGACGAGACATCGGTGTCAACCGCGCACTGACGATGTTTTCCGAAGATCGACTCTCTCATTCTCGACAAGATTATTCACGCAAAAACGGATAGGCCCAATACGAATGTCTAACGTTGAGTTGAAATATGAGGTGAACATGTTGATACTACTCCAAAAGTGCGCGTAATACTCATCTGAATCCACAAGTCCCAGCAGACAAAATTACTCATTCTTGAGCGACGCGACTGATTAGTCCGGCGCTTGGAACGGTGACCCTATAACCCTTCTGATTGTGTCAACCCATCAACCTGAACACCAGGGTCGGCAGTTCCATGGGTGCTGGAAGCACCCCGGACAACGTTTGATTGGTTGGAGGCATGTCCAGAGTGCGTTGGTGGAATGACTGTCTGTGAGTGACTGGAGACGTTGCAAGAAATGGCGGCTAATCGATGTCAGTGGCGTTCGTGCTGTCAATTTCTTCCCAGAATGTCTGATGAAGCGGTTGGAGGTGCAGGCACCTCAGAATGCTTGACATAGGCCAGCACTAGGTCCTATCCCCCACCCACTCTTTTCCTCTTCTTTTCATTGTNGGCAGTGAAGCATCAGTGCTAGCACTGATGTTGCTGTCTTTGATGGTGATGATGATGATGACTGCAAAACGTTCGTCTCATAGTTCAGCCATCTTGGGTCCTAATCCAGGCACAGCTGGTGAACATCACTAAGAATGGAACTCGGTTTCAGCGCCTCCCCGATTTGGTGCGCACTAACTAGAATAACTGTGAGAGGACAGAACTGTGGTGTGAACGGGGGTGATGTCCATTCTAAATGTAAATTACAAACGCTAGTTTTCAGCGTTACCCGGTCACGAACAGCAGTACACTGAGTGCGTTCAAGTTAGATTCTCATGCTATCATTGTACCATCATATTACTGTCAAAAGACGACAAAAAGAGTTCGTTTTGGATCAAAGAAACGGCCTTCGTGGCAGAACGAACGGAATACGCCCAACTAATTGCAGATGAAAGGTAGCATTCTGAGGAACATCGTAGATCGGAAGGTGTATTAGGTAGTCCCTCCCACCACGAGTATAGGGCTGAACTCAAATGGCGTGACCACCTAAAGAACCAATCAGAAAGTGTATCTTTTTGGAGGGAGTTGACGGTTAGAATAAACTTTAGTGTTGCCACAAAAAGTAGTATGATTAAGGGGTGTCTATTTGGAGGGCAGACATTTCTATCTCGAGTTGTCCAACTCTGAACAGATAAACCAAGAGTGAACTAGGCTCATACCCCTTGAGCGAAAAAAACCTGAGTACCGTCACAAAACTCGATAAACTGTCATCAGAATAACTCACCAATAAAAGACCACACGAAGCAGCAGACTACGGAAGTAACGGGGCGATACATTCGAAAAAGCACGTCAGATAAGAGTCGCTCAGATTTATACTCATTTATATCACAATATTTTCTCATGATCTCCAAAAGTCTCTCTCAAAGTTACTGGAATTCTTTACGTGACCCAGACGAGAGGCAGCCTAGAATGAGAGCCATAATTAGAAACCTGGGTGAGACAACAACTATTGGGTTCGCTGTGTGGGAATCTTGGTTTATCACTGCAAAACTCATTGTTGAGACTTCCACCCACGAAGCTCACACAGATGCAATACAAAGGCGGTAGTTGGGATGTATGAGATCATGCCGATACTGTATTGTTTTTAGAAATCAATTTATCGATTAACAGATTGGCTTGATTGTAAAGACAGAGTTGTTTTCAAATGACCGACTGTGAAAATGCTCCGGTCCGCGTGCGGCACACATGTTACTCCACCGATTCATTGAAGCGTTTACAGACGGAAATCTTCCGGCGACATAAACGTTACTGACCTTAAACAGTTGCATTTCGTTCACAGAAAGGACTGTGCTATGCAAAACAATGAAGCAGTCGGCGGGTTGACGAAAACACACTGACGTTTGCAACCGTTTTCAGCAACCTCGTGAGTAGTGCATTACCTCTCAGTAGATGGATGCAATCGGATAAAATACAAATCTGAATTCCTAGTTTAACAAACTTGGTCTTTTAGGAGTTGGATACTCGAAAACTGGGATAATGTAAATATGAAACTCGCAACCTCGTAGTAGTGCATTACTTCTCAGTAGATGGATGCAATCGGATAAAATACAAATCTGAATTCCTAGTTTAACAAACTTGGTCTTTTAGGAGTTGGATACTCGAAAACTGGGATAATGTAAATATGAAACTCAAATAAATCGACCACTTGTGATGCCTTTCAGCCAAATGTGATGGGGACGCTGACTCGGGGCTCGGATAAACCGATGAAAAATATAGTAACGTCTTGAAAACCAGCATAGATGAACCATAGGAAAGCTTCTGGATGTAGATTCGCTTGAAGACGGAAGAATATGGCAGTTTGCTGCCAAGACATGGCGACGGTTGCTGCAGTTAGGTGAGAAATTATTGACAGATGCTGCGAGCAGTACTGCCTGCTTGAAGTACCTTCTGAAGAGGGATCAAAGCGAAACTGAGCCGGCCGATACCGATGCGCATGCATCGGTCACTTTCACGAGGGGAAATTCCAGATGGATGCCGAAACTTTTCACAGCAGTAAGGCAGACTGTTGGGAGACGCCCGTGTATCAGCATAAATTATCAGACAACTCTTGTACGTCTAACGAAACTCCGTTAGGAAATTCACTCAGTGATTCCAAGATTTGTCTCCTCCAGAGGACCCCAACTCGGAAACTCCCATTCCGCCCAAAATGTCTCTCGGATGGCAGCGTTCCCCTTAGTGTCACACTAGAATGCCACTATTTATAGAGTTCGGAGTTTTCTCAGTGAGGAGAACCTAAGTCCTGGGATTACATCGTGTTGCTTGGAATTTAAAAAAAACTTAGGGGTCAGGAAAAGAGTTTAATAACGAGCATGACGCCGTGCATTGGCAACTTCACAGCGGCTGCATTAACGACAAAAATTAACGAAGTCATCCCCAAAGGAAACTACTCACAAGGTTGCTGAAAACTCTTCGACAGCTCACGACCGGTTTCGCTCTTCTTGGGGTTCATCAGTGGGCCCAGTCCCCAAGTTGCAGTCAAACTTGTCTTCTAGTTGAACCCAAATTGGACTGTTTTTGAGAAATACGCTCATTTGAAAATCAATTTAGTTTTCACGGGAGACGCAACTGAATCTCTCGTCTATGGTATTCTACAACTGAAGGTGCTGCACACAGGCCACCCCATGCTTCAGTTGGCACGATATTCGAGATAATAATGGAAAATTTCCTAGCAAAATAAACTACGTATACTGGATGCCAGATGTTATAGCGTTGGTGAGCAATTCTCAAGGTATTCTGGTGTGCAGTCTCAGTAGGAACAGCTCTGAAAACCGATCGGATTAGATTTTTCTGCTATCAAACAACCATTGACATGAAATTGATGGCTGTGAATGGATGATCTTGAGGCTGATGGAGTTAGCGTAACCAATAATCAAATACGGCGACGGATACGAAAGCATCATGGAGTTGTGCAGAGGTAGGAATCGGACATTCCAGGTAAATCTAATAAGCGATTACGTAGTCTAACGAAACCATTTCATA